CTGCGAAAGCCTAAATTCAAAAACACAAATCAGTGAAGTATGGAAGAAAGTAAACGCTTTTAAAAACCACAAACAGTCCAACAAAATTCCAATAGATCCAGAATCCAGCTGGCTAGATGAATTTCATAAGAAAATATCTCCTCAGTTGGTACCTTCACAACATTTTCCAGAACACAGCGAAACAGTGTCAAGAGATAGGTTTGGCTTAGAAGAACCATTTAAAATGTGGGAGTTAGAGCGAGCACTTAGTCAACAAAATAGCAGTACTCCAGGTAAAGACAATATTTCATACTCCATGATATACCATATTCCTCACCACTATAAAATATCATTATTAAATATTTTTAATGACATTTGGAATGATACGTCACAAAGTTCAGACAGCTGGAAGGAATATATTTTAATACCTATTAAAAAACCTGGGAAACCAGAAAATTGCAGTAGATCATATAGACCAATATCCTTAGCCTCTTGCTTTCTAAAGACGTTAGAAAGATCAATAAAAAATAGAATTGAACATTGGTTAGAGCAAGAACATATCCTCCCAAAATCTCAGTATGGATTTCGAAAATCAAAATCAATCCAAGATGCCATAACTGCCTTAGTCTCATCCATACTAACAAACTTTACTGATAATATGTATACTATGGCTGCTTTTCTTAATGTTTCCTCTGCATTCGATACCGTTAACTTGGACATTATGCATAAAAAGCTATTAGACATCGGCTTCCCCATCACCATAGCTAGCTTTCTGAGGACAGTGTACACTAATAGATCAACTTTTTTAAAAATCAACCATTCCATCTCTCCACCACGTCTTACAAATATAGGACTTCCACAGGGTAGCATATTAATCCCAATACTATTTATTTTATATAATATGGATATAGAAAATTGTATTAATAGCCCAACAAAAATTATTCAATATGCTGATGATGTAGTAGTTTACACAGCCCACAAATCATTGGATATATGTAAAAATAATTTTGATCTCTCAATTAAAGCTGTTCTTAATCACTATGAAAATATCGGTTTAGAAATATCAGAATCTAAAACAAAAATTTGTATTTTCTCTAGAAATTCCACAAGGTCATCTGGAAGTAGGTCAAATTCAATTCCCTATTAAAAATTTTAAAAAATATCTCGGTACTTATTTAGACAGAAAACTTCTATGGAAAGATCAAATTCATCAAGTCATAAAAAAGTCTGAAAATGCAATGAACATTCTAAGAGCCTTTTGTAGAACTAACTGGGGTGCTGATCCAAATGTAGCACTTTTATTTTACCGTACTATGATTCGTCCCATTTTCGATTACAGTTGTCATTTGTATGGAACTGCCTCAAACACATATTTAAATAAATTAGAAATACAAAAAAATAAATGCCTTCGGCTTTGTCTTGGATATTTGAATTCTACACCTGTTAATATAATGGAAGTTGAGGCGATAGAACCACCTCTGAAATTTCGACGGGAGTTTTTAAGTGATAAATTCATTACTAGAGCCATAGGGAAAAATACTAACTATCTACCGGATATTCATAGTTTATCAATTTTAGATCTAACTCATAAATATTGGACAAAGAAAAAATGTTCTCTTCTGGTAAATAGTTTTATATTTAAATATGGCATTTGCTTTGTAAGTCCTAATTGTGCTGTAATTTTATTTTCCTATTGTCTATCCTTTGTTTTACTCAAAGGCAACTAGCAAAAAATACTTTGAAGCTACGTTTTTAATAAGTAAAAGAGCCCTGTGATATCATAATTTTGAAACTTTTGGCATTCTTTTTATATTGTATGTAGTGAACACTATTAAAATACAAAGATATTTCAGAACTTACAAAAGAACCGTGAGATTAAAATTTAACATATGTACAATTATTAGCGTCTGTAATTAAGATTATTGAGATATTCATTAAATAAAAATCTTGAATCAATTTACTTTGTCAAGTTTATTTTAATTTTATAAAATTAGTAACTATATTATAGAGTAAATTTCAATATCATAACTTTCACCAAAACTTGGAAGACTGTAAAGAATTACCAGCTATATAGTGAAAAATAGGACAGAAGCATGTCTTTATCTATAAAAATCTCATAGCATGGTGTTTGTCCAAGCTAATATTCAAAAACCACTGAACCGATTGCAATAAAATTTTGTGAAAGTGTATTTGTTGGTCCAACTTAGAAGACACGATATTTTTTATCTTGATGAATGACTATTACTTTTTTTAATTGTAAATTTAAAATATTTTATACGACTTTGCCTCTACAGTTTTAATTTATTTGATCATGTTGTTATAAGATATCATAAAATGACGTTTAAAAAAAATCATTTTATGTTTTTATAACTTTTGTTTAAATAAATCAAGAACGTCTAAATCGATTTGGCCAATTTTGGTTTTTGGCCAAGGTAAAATAGGTGAGAAAATATGATGAAATTATAAAGAAAATAGTAGAAGCAACGGCGCTATTTTCCCATACAAATAGTTACATGATACTCTTATACATGTATTATATGTTTTATACGATTTACCTCTACAGTAGTTCATTTAAACATAAAGTGACGTTTAACAAACTTCACAGTGACGTCTATTTACTTTTATCGTTTCGCTTAAACTTAAGAAAATATGATCAAATTGTAAGGAAAATCGTAAAACCAGTTTTATTTTCCCTTATAAACAATTGTATATACTGATCTATACCATATACCATCAGATATCAACTTTTATCAGTTGTGTATGAAGTGTTTTAAAACATGTGATTTTACTCCACAATAAAATATTTTTATTTTTGACATAATTATTTTTATTTAGAATTAAATTTTGACATAATTATTTTTATTTGGAATTAAAAATAATTTTAAAATGTTCATTATTGTTTATTTGCAATAAAAGCACTATTTTTTAAACGTTTTCTCTGCAATAAAGCTAACAATTTACGTTTATTTTGATGGTACACAAGGCAAATATCGAACACAGTAGTTAATCAAATCTTGCCCAAGTACTTTCGATCACAAGATCATCCTCAGGGACATTTCGTCAGTTGTGGCCTATCCAGCAGTAATAGAATGTTATAGAATGCTACCCTCAGTACCAAAACGACAAATTCCAATACGGATGTCAAGTCCAAGAAACCATATAACATCTTACTGGGGTCTGCCAGGCATTTCTTCAAGCTGGGACTTCTTCAAACCAACCATCTTCCCTTAAGCCACAATTAAAGATAAAAATACGTTTATTGACGTTTCAATTTACACTTCGGAAATCGTTCTCAAAATACAAACAAATAAAGAAACGTATAAAATCAGAATTTTGGTGTTTATTGAAGGTAAACTAAATGCACGAACAAATACTTACCATGTCGGGATAGTATTATGAGGTTTTTTTCCTGGTTTTTGCCTCATAATTTACTATGGAATCACTAACAGGAGAATTTTACTGTCATCATGGCATGTGTTTGTCTTTTTAAAGACGAATTACATGCTATGATTTTTTTTCTGACGGATATTCTCAAGTTAAGTTGATTCCATGTAATCGAATGAACTATCTTATAAGTAAAGTCGTCCCAGGAGCGCCGCTCAACAATATTGGCAATATCATTTTAAAGTCGTCTACTTTAAAATGCATAATGTATGTCTGAATTGTCAATATAAATGAGGCAGATAAAATTAAATTATTATTTAATTTACAATTTACTGTTTGTATTTTGAGAACGATTTCCGAAGTTGAAATTGAAACGTCAATAAACGTATTTTTATCTTTAATTGTGGCTTATTTCCAGTTAAATAGTAATTAGACCAGATCTCATATTAATAATGCTAATAAATTAACGAAATAAACAACACTAATTGATGTGGTGGTAATCAAAAACAATATATAACGAAAAGATCGCCAAATATAGATATCTGGAAATTCAAATACGGATACATTGGAGAATGGAAGATAACAAAGGAACAAGCTGGGTCGAAATGAATATCTATATAAGAAAATGCAGAAAACTATACAACTTTCGACGTCCAGATGTGTATGAAAATTTTTGGAAGATACTCCAACATATCACGTCACCTAGTAACACGGAAATAACCCCACCAGAGTTGAATTCTTTTGACACCGTAGGTATTTGCAATGACTTAATTTTTTCCTTAGTTGGAGTGAGAGCTGTATGGCTAAATCTGTAATAATAATAATATTTTCGGTAAGTCTCGCCCCCCCCCCCTATTATGATTTTTGTATTTGGAGTGATGTGTAACAAGTGTAACACTCAATCATCAGCGAAATATATAATTATCGAGTGCTCAGTACAAATATGCTTGTTTTAAATTGAACATCTTTATTAAATTATTTTAAAATAACTAATCTATGTACCAAACTGTAAAGTTTTATTATGTTTTAATTTATATCTTACTGTCTGTGCATGCCCTCCGCTAATAACCCTTAGTGGTTGATGCCGATATATTTGTGTAAATAAAAAAATAGTATTTGTTACTTTAATAATTAATGTAGTAAGATCTTTTGTCGAACATTTGTCAACAAAGTATTTAAAAATGTTGTTATCAGCATTATCCTTTTAATAAAAAGATATTAGCAGATTTTAAGACAGTATAAAATGGATATAATAGTTTTTAAACTTATATATATCTAAACAAAAAATACATTTTAATATTCAACTTTTCCTCCAAACACCCTATAAAGGCCATTAAATACAAGCGTCTGGAACTGATGGCTCATTTTAGGCCTGTCACCAGCAAAACCCCTTCAAACGAATATAATTTACAAACAGTCCTTTAAGCAGAATAACTCCCTCGGAATTCCTACGACCAACCGAAATGCAGCAACCCTCAAAAACGCGGAGAGTCTGCTCTTATTGGTGAATAGAAAACTAAACCACACCCTTAATCAATAATTTCAATTCGATTGTGATATCCGGTTAAAATAAAAAAAAGTTCCTTGCCCTAACATATAAACAAATTCTCCGGGACTATTTATCAGTCGAAATTTAGAAATCGTAGTGCACAAGTTTTATCTTATAATATATTTTGTTTGTGTTGGTGCCCTTTGTAGTATATTGAACAAAACATAAATTATCAATATTGGTCCGGCAGTAGTTTTGAAGAAACGTTACAAAAAAATGACAAATCGTGTTCACCAGTTGCCCGATTCTTCGTCGTCACCTCCTTCGTAAGTATTTTATTATTCGTTATATACCTACAGTTTACAGTTTTGCACATAAAGCACCGGCATATTTAAAAGAATAGAGTTTTATTAAGTTATATTCTTTCTATGATGTCCTAAACATTAGAAATTTTCAAGTCTTCGTGTATTATTTCCGGTAAAAATTGTAAATTGTACCTTCTTGTAATTTTTCATTGGTTACATACCATGGAGTATTAGGTATACCAAGTATTTTTAACTGGCTCCTCTATATTACTATTATTGCAACATTAGTTTTGCTTACGATACATCAAGGCCTACTTCGTATATTCAAACTAGCTAATTACAGTTTTCTAAATTAAACCTTTATGCAGTAGAGATGCCTTTATAGGTAGAAATTTGGCAACTTTTCAGTAGAGACAAATAATATGTTTATTTCGTTTTAATAGGAGCAGTTTTTATTAAAACTCAAAATTATACAAGAAATGCAATTTTTAATTTGTCATAAGATAAATCATATTAGTTTTATTGTTTTTTTTTTGAAAATTTGAGTTACACCATTTTGACACATTTTTAAATGAAGATTAATGGATTTGCACGCAAGAGTAATTTTAATAAAATAAATTCTAATACATTGAAATAAAATGTTACATTTTTTATTTTAGCTTAGTGCACAAAAGCAAAATAAAGTAATGCATGAAAAATAAAAAAAAAATCAGATATAAACGGTCAAATTGAAAAAGGCGTTCAATTATGAGGCAGATTATCATAAAACGACCAATAAACTTTGTCAATGACTGTTTTTAAATCTTGTAAGTGAGTAATTTTTCTAATTTGATTTTTAATGGTCGGCTATATAATGGTCGAAGTTGGGTGTTGTCATGATTTGCCATAGTTGTTGGAAGTTTCTTCCAAGTTGAAATGTATTCCGTTTTATAGAAGATTTCTTTTTCGTATTTAATGTATTTCAAATCGTTAATACGCGGATCTCCCCGTCTGGTCCCAGGTCAAATTGAAGAAAAGTATAAAATATTATTAAAGTTGTGACTGTGAGGCTGTAAGACTGTAGGGACGGATTTTACAAGTTTCTAAACATTGGTAAAATTATATTGAATATCATTAGGTGCTTGGTTGTTCGTTTCACTTTCATGGGGTTCGTCATTGTCATTTAGCTCTTCAGTGTTATTTGAAAGTATCTAAATTTTTCTCGAAGGTATTTCCAATTTAGAAACATCATTCGTTAATGTTTCGTTTTCAGATAATAATGCATTATTGTCATCATTGTGATCATTGGAAACATTCAATAACAACTTATTATTAAAAACAGATATGTCACGATACATTATTTCTCCTACACTAGGACGTTCTTTTATGTAACAATTATTAAGCTCTTTGCTCTGGCTCTCATCGCAAAACGAGAGATCAGCACTGTTCAAAATATCTTCTAGTTCTCTTTCGGTTAGGACTTTATTGGGCCTTTCATTGGCCATTGTGCCAGAAAAAAAAGATTTTAAATTTAATTATTTCAATTTATATAATGATTTAATACGTTTTAATCCATTTTTGGCTTGGATTCATATTTTTTAACAGGTAAAAATAATTGTTATAATTATTATTAGCTATTGCAAAAACGTGTATCTAAGGCAAATAAATATGTTTAAAAACGTGTATATCAATGCTGAAGTTGTTAACAAATTCTGAGCATTCATTCTATCAAAAATTACTTTGAAATGAATTCTACATTAAAGACCAATTTTTTAAAAATAGATTAACACTTATCCAACTAATTTCTAAGCTTTATTTACACAGTAAAAACCCGGACGAACAATCTGGTGCAACTAACATAACCACACAATGCCGATTCTGGCGTTTTAAACTTAGTTACACCTTTTTGCTTGATGTTGAGAGATACACCGAGTTTATTTTCGGAAATAACTTAAACACGAAATTTTCTACAGTTAAATAGTTTTTGCACTAATCGAACTATTGCTATTTCTTAAAATATATATTACATGTGGAACTAGATTTTCTTTTCCATAGAAATCAACGTTTCAACAGGAAACCCTTGCCCTTGTCAAGATTCTAAAATGTATAAGGATAAGAATAAACAGTTATTGTAAAATATCAATCAATCAATCAATCAATGAATCAATCAATAATGCCTTTTATTTCTCAATATAAAAAAATACAATACAATGCTTTTAGTGACATTTGTTCTCCTTGGCACATGCCATCAGGAGGGTTGGCAAACAAATATTCCCTAATTAATATACAAAAAATTACACAAAGGCTTATTCTATCTAACAAGGCCATTAAAATAAATAAAAAATAAATTATGTAAATATTCATATAAATGTTGGTAATAAACTAAATGTATATATCCTACTAAGTAACACTTCGCACTAGACTTAACAATAATAACAATGTATAACAGTGAGCTATAGATTACAATTGAAAAGATTGAATATCCCTTTGAGGGAGTGAAAGCTGCAGATACAACAATAATAATAGTAACAATAATAATAACAATATTAGTCAAGATAGACCAGATAGATAAAAAGATAATAGTTATAAGCAAACAAATTATTAATCCTAATTTTAATATAACACCACGCTAATAGATTTAGTAGTTAAATAGGCTCACTAACTCATACCTATACACCCATGCCTCCCTACAATGACCTGCTAACTCAGCCTTGCCCTGTCTCATCATAGTAACTACTTCCACTCTACTAAGTTCATGTCTACCCAACCACTTTAACCTAATATGTCTCAACACCGAACATTTTCCCAAAAAATGTATCACATCTTCCCTTTCCTTCGTGTTAGAATTTAGGCGTGTAAAAGCATTGACACTCAACATTTATAACACACATTAAAATATAAAAACTATAAAATCATGGACAAAATACATTTTAAAATTTAGGGTAAAGATGGTAAAACTTTGTTTATGGCATGTTTTACTGTTGTGTTTTAACTCATATGCACAGAGAATTAAAAAAAAAGGAAAATAAAAATAAGCACAGAGAATGAAAAAAAATGAACGAAGAATGGACGAAAATGTTTTTCCCGAATTCGCTGAAGGGTCTTATTTACACCAAAATGCCCTCCTGATGGACTGTCGTGTAACTGACGAAGTACGTCGGCTATTCTGCTCTTTGGGATCACCAACTGTCTTCTCTTCCCTGAACCGTCATCATTTTCCAGAACTCGTTTGAGCAAGCCATCTTCCATGATAAATGAGTCCCACTGGGCCCAATCCGTCTTTACTACGAAGCATAGGTTTGATATTTCTTGCCAGGGTGTTCGACGGTTTTCCTCTTTCGATTTTTGAATTTTCTGTATAACTGGATCTCTCTCTTGTTCTTCCTTTATCTTCGTTGGCGTCCAGTCGTCGTTGACCATCGTCGTTCTTAGCACTGCTGCTTTCTTGGATTCCGTTTTGTTGCAGTGGGAACACTCTGCTGGGCATGGCCTTCTCGAAAGAAAATCAGCGTTTCGGTGGCTAACTCCGGCCCAGTGCTCAACCTTGAAATCGTATTCTTGGAGTCGTTCGATCCACTGGCTATCTGACCCTCTGGATTCTTAAACTGCATCAACCACTTAAGGGCGGCATGGTCGGTTCGGATTAAAAACTTCCTTCCATAGAGGTATTGATAGAAGTGCTCTACTGATTTCACTACTGCCAGAAGTGCTCTTCTCGTGACGCAATAATTCCGCTAAGATTTTGAGAGAACTTTACTAAAATATCTAAGGATTCTTTCCTGTCCTCCTTGGATCTGAGACAGCACTCCTCCAATTCCCACATTACTTGCATCTGTATCTTAGATGAACTCTCCTTCTGGCAGTGAATACCCTAAAATTGATGATGTGATTAAATGCTTTTTTAAGGTCTCCAAGGCATTTTGGCAGTCTGTATCCCAGCGGTATTCTCTTGCTTCCTCTGTAAGTCGCGTTAATGGTTTAGCGATATCTGCAAACTTCTTAATAAACCTCCGGTAATAAATACATAGTCCAAGAAAACTTCTCACTTGATGTTTGTCAGTTGGTTCTGGCCATTCCTTAATGGAATCGATTTTCCCTTATCCACGGCCACTCCTTCTTTACTGACTATATGACCCAGGTAATTGACTTTACCTTGAAATAGCTGGCACTTCTTGGGGTTTAACATCAATTTTGCAGCTTTAAATCGATTAAAAACGGTTTCTAAATTCTTCAAATGGTCTTCAAATGTCTCCCCCAAGACGATTATGTCATCTAGATAAACTAGGCATGTTTTTCAATATAACCCTCTCAATACATTTTCCATAAGCCTCTCAAATGTCGCGGGAGCATTACAGAGTCCAAACGGCATAACGTTGAATTGCCATAATCCAGATCCTGTGGTGAAGGTTGTCTTTTCTTTATCTACCGGGTCCATTTCTACCTGCCAGTATCCAGACTTCAAATCCAAAGTAGAAAACAATTTACTTCCAGCCAATTTGTCCAATGTGTCGTCGAACCGAGGCAGAGGATAACTATCTTTCTTGGTAACGCTATTTAGCAAACGACAATCCACACAGAACCTCGTTGTTCCGTCTTTCTTTTTAACCAGGACCACCGGAGAGACGCATGGGCTCGTATAAGGTTCTATTACCCCGTCTTTCTTTATTTCCTGAACAATCGTTTCAGCTTCCTCTCTTTTCGCCTGTGGTAATCGTCGAGCTGTTTGACGAATTGGCTTAGCATTACCAATATCAATTTTATGTTTAACAACGGTAGTTCTTCCCGTCTTTACTCCTTTCGGTACGAAAATATCACGATACTGCCGAAGAAATTCCCTTAATTTCCTTTTCTCAATCTGATTCAGAGACTGTCCAGCAACTGCAACCATTTGGCCGAATTTGTCGTTAGAATTATCAGATGTTGTCGTCTGATGGATTATAGATGTCACAGGTACACAAGTTCCTACTTTTGTCTCTTTCTTGATGGTGACTGGATAGTCATTGACATTGATAAGTCTCACAAGTATTTCTTTAGCCGAAGTC